CTTCAAAAAGTTGACGACTCTACATGTTTCGACGTTACAACGTCATCCTCATAAGATAAGCCTAAATAAAATGTTTTTAATTGTGTACATGTTTAACGTTGAATATTATTTATGATTTTAACTTTATACACAAGTGCCAAAATACTATAATTAATATTAAGTGAGTTGGATTATTGTCATTTAAACGCAAGTTACTATTTCAGTGTTGGGTTTTGTTGTAGACGAGAAAACAGGAAATTTCCTGACACAGTTTACATTTATGTTTTGTGGTAAAGTTACCACGATTATATGACACCTTCGCTAGTTTTGAAATAGTGACCAGATGGAAGGCAGCCATTCAGCAGCACTTTACCATAAACCACCCACGATAAGGAATTGAAGGTCACTCTTATAACGCACCCACAGTTTAAAAAGGGGGTGGGGAGATATTTTGTGGTATCGCAAGGAATTGAAATCGGCTCGTCAACTTTATATACCAGAGTTCTACCACAGTTTGTCGCAGAAACTTCAGTAATAAGAGATGTTGGTTTTTCTAGGAACTTGGTTAGTGCCAGAGGCCCCAAATATGCTCTCTCTCTCTCTCTCTTTTTTTTTTGTAAATGTTCTTTGATGGCCGGTTCCAGAGATTAATCCATTTCTTAATACTATATGATAGTTATGAAAAACGTATTCGGTATTTCAACTTGAACCTTATTGGTCACATGGACTAAATAGCAAGGTCAAAGACCTCCTGGATCCAATTTAGTCGTTCCTAATCTTGAACTGTTGATGAGAGGAAAGGCAGTTAATCAACAGCCTCCACTATTTGTTGATCAGAGGAAAGGCAGTTAATCAACAGTCTCCACTGTCTGTTGTTGAGAGGAGAGGCAGCTAATCAACAGCGTCCACTGCCTGTTGATCAGTGGAAAGGCAGCCAATCAACATCACCACTGTCTGTCTCAAGGGTTTTGTCCGGCTTTGAACTGACTACGAAACTGACGCATCAACAGCTGAAAATACGAATCTTGTGCTTAGCGGAATCGCGACACGAACCTTGGACTGTCACACTAACCATTAGGCCATGCTGCTGATTTCATTCCATCTTTAGCGTCGTCTGTTTTTCCTTGGCTGCGTATCAGGATAATTAGTGTATAGAAATCTTAAGAAGTGCATTTTTTTAAAGAAAACAACCGGTTAGCATGCCGGACTGAAAATCTGAAGGCCCATGGCTTGCATCTCGTTGCCACAAAAACGTGACCCGCACTTTGGAGTCGTGAATACGTAGTACTGGAGAATGATGGTTAAAATCCCACAAGTCATTGAGACAAAACCGAGAGTTGGCATTGGTTATTTTTGCTTACTACTCTCCCTCTGGTGTGTCGCTTCAATATTTAGGACATCTAGTACCTGCATATAACCCCTGTGTACCTCTGCGCAATTTCCGAAAGAAAGTGATAAAATCAGTGTTGTTCAATGAATAGGCTTATTCGGATGTAAGCCTCATTAATCATCTTCTGCACAAATATTTATTTTGTGTCAAGAAAATCCCATCAATACGTTGCATAACTATTAGCTACACTCCGCCCCCGTTTTTTTTAAAACTGCTCAGTCTTTTGTAGTTTAAGAATATCTTTTGAGTTTAGATACAAACTGTTTGTTCCCCTGATTAAGAAAGGTCCACCTTTCGAAAGCGCTCGGGTTTATATGGTTTTTATCCTTTTATTTTGAGTAGAGACATTATGACATCATTGGTTAATATTTTAAAACAACTAAGACTAAACTCACCGAATCTGACCTGAAGCCCGTTGAATGCTTTTATAAATAAGTCTTAAATCACACGTTTTTGGTTGAGGTTGGATTAAGTATTTTGTTATGTGAGTAATTAAGTTTTACTAATTAAGCAATATGTTACAAGCGAAACTGTGATTTATAGAAACTATTTGATGACTAATGAAAAGTTACGTTTGTCCTGTAGTTTCCCACCAAGGAGTGAAGCCTTGTTTACAATAATGAGTACGAGTGAGAAACAAAACAAAACCCTAACCACGAAGGTAAGTAATTCTTACTTTAAGATCTAAAATATAAACAAATCATTAACCAACGGTATGACAACGTTTGGCTGGGCCCAGCGTAGACAGGTGGTTAGGGTGCTCGACTCGCAATCTGAGGGTAGCGAGTTCAAATCCCCGTCCCACTAAACATACTCGCCCTTTCAGCCGTGGGGGCGTTATGATGTGAAGTTGGTAAAAGAGTAGCCCAAGAGTTGGCAGTGGGTGGTGATGACTAGCTGCCTTCCATCTAGTCTTTCACTGCTAAATTAGGAACGGCTAGCGCAGACAGCCTTCGTGTAGTTTTGAGCGAAATTCAAAACAAACAAACAAACGTTTGACCGAGTTTCGTACTAGGAAGGGTATTTCACTATTTGGTTAGTTCACAAAGTTACTGTATTTTTGTTTCCAGCTCTATCATCATGATTAATAGAAAATTTTTGGTAAATATAAGAACTGAACGAATAACAATGCATTTATTTATTGTTTTAATCGGATATGATCGGCGGTTTGGCATACTGCTTAAATTACCAATAATTCGATAAATTAAAAAGATAGTGTGATCAAAAGTACGACAACAGATGGACGGTTTTACATTAATAGTGTGATCTATAGTACGACAACAGATGGACGGTTTTACATCAATAGTGTGATCTATAGTACGACAACTGATGGACGGTTTTACATCAATAGTGTGATCTATAGTACGACAACAGATGGACGGTTTT